ACAAAAAAAACCACATTATTATTCACTGTCATTAATCCTTTTCAGTTCTTAAGACTCATAACCTTGAATAGTTTTCTAAATCACATCTATTTTTTAGCTAATGCTTAGATGTCTTCTTAGCCTATTTCATGGTTGCAGACTACAGCTGGTAAGAAAGATTCATCCATGTTTCAGATATGACAGAGAAGTCATATTGTGTGGGGATTTCTGGGGTTTTTTGTTTGTAAAAATGTAGTTCACTCCATCTCTGGCTAGTGCCAAATCAGCCTTGCCAGAGATGCATTCATAAGAATACTTCTGGCGAGGAGTTATTTTATCTTTGAAATGTCCCATGTTGCACCATGTGGCAGGTATTTTCCAAAACAAATGCCCTGACACTCATTTACACCAATGGCCCTTTACATCACCTTAACCATTAAAGGGGCCTAAAATGGACATTTACACCCACTGTAAGGCCCCAAGTATATGGGAACCTTCGTGTAAAGGAGAATCAATCCCAAATTTCTTGAGGGAAGATTGTCCTGGATTCTCTTAAAACCTCTTCACCATTCCCTAGACTCACAGGATTCAAGTTACATATATGATACTTTGTACTATCCTATCATTATATTCAGCATAGATTTCAGGACCAATTACAAACATTTCCAGAAAAGTGCTCATTTGCTATGCGATGTTTCCTCCTGTCTTAGGACAAATTTCTACCCCACCCCCTTTCACAGGCTGAGTAGCACCTAATTCCTCATGTAGTCACCATAGATTTCAAATGGGACTGTCCGATGAACAAGGTACTACTCACAGTGAGTAATGGGGGCAGAATCAAGCACTAAATTATAAGAAACTATTTTTATTTATACAATGTAAAGCTCTTCCAGTCCTTCACTTCTCCTCTCTGAGTAGTTCTTTGGGACAGAGCCTGTCATTTACTATCTGCCTATACAGTGCTTATGAGAATGGAGCCCCAACCTGGTTGAAACCTCTAGGTGCTACTGGGATATAAATGTACATAATGATGATAATGGCTGGGCTTTTGAAAGGAGTCTGAGGGCAGTAGATGTGGAAATTCCACTAAAATTCAATGGGAGCTGGATGTCTAATTCCTTAAGTCTTCTTTGAAAGTCCCAGCCAGTATTAATAAATTTTAATATGTACAGTTATCTGTTTTATCATGAGCTAAGGGAGAAAAAATTGTTAGATCCTCTTGTCTAAACAGTTGTAGCATGTCCCTGAATCGATATTATTCTATATGCATGCCTGAGCTTAACATTGGACAAAACGTAGTTTTGTTTGATTTGATTCAGTGAAAATATTCAGCTCTTTTCAAGCTTGTTACAGCGGATCTGAAACAAAATGTACTTCTCAGGAAGCAGAACACAGAGTAGAGAGGTAGGAATGAGAACAATGTTTTGCTTGCCATGATAACCCTCGCCTCATCCCTCACATAAGGCAAGAATGGACTTGAACCAGACTGTGATAATAGGACAATGTGCTAAGTAGAGCCAAGTCCCAAGTATATTTTTTCATACAGCCATTTTTTTTTTTGGGGGGGGGGCAAACAAACCTTCATTTTGGTTAATATTATCCACAAACATTTCCATATATTTTTGCTGAAATATTACAATGAAAAAAATCCTAAATTTTCTGTGGAAAGACAACCTCTGTGAAAAATTCCATTCTGTCATAAATCCAATTTTCCACTGAAAAAGTTTTCAACCAGCTGTAGAATAGTTAGGGGGCTTTAAAAGTGGCTACTGAAAAGAGAAATAATCGCAAAATATGCAGAAAATCATAAGGGATTTTGCAAGGATTTTTCTCAAGTTTGAGGGGATGTTACCATTTATCTTGCAATGGATTGATAGCTTGGCTGTTGATTTCAAATGGAAGGATGATCAAGCTCATTGTGATAGTCACTTTAAAGGAAAAACACCTCACTAGGGCTAATGGAAAACTGCAGGAAAAGTAAAAAATCTGATGCATTCCCCTGATTTATGCAGGGATTTTTTGTACTTTGTTTTTGTTTTTTTGCAATGAATTATGCTGGACACTCCCTTACTCATTGACAGTTACTTATCTCAAACAAGTTGCTGTGTAGTTGCTGTCCTTTCCAAATGTCAAAGAGGTTGTCACATGGAAGACAAAAGGCTCAGCAAATCGTTGAAGTAATTACACAAAGTAAAAGGTTGAGGCTTAGCCTGTCACTTAACCTTGACTCAGTCTGTCACTCCATATCTTGTAAAGGGATTTAACACAGTTATAATTTTGTGGCATGGTTTGTAAAACTATTTTACAGCTATATTTGAACCATGACAATATGTAGTCTGGAGCCAGAATCTGTTAAAAATAATTTGGGGCCAAATTCTTGTCTCTTTCACATCCCAGGAAGATCCACTAGGCTTTGTTGACCCTCCCCACAAGCATTTGCTACTTATGTACAGCAGTTTGTAACAGCAGTTAAGTAAAAAGTAATTCTATGTCTACTTCTGATAACAGAGACTGGGGAACGAGAGGGGAACAATCCTAGTATCTATGGAGGCTAAGAGGATTCACATTTCCTTGCAGCTCAAGCTATGTACAAACATCCATCTTACAGGTAATGGCAGGAGGAAGAGCATAAATACAATGGGCTGAATTCTGGCAGGTTCTGCCCATTTGATCCACTTCAGAAAATCCTTCGGTAAGACTCTAAGATAACAGTTGTCTGCTCCAGAGTAAAACCAGTATTTTGGGTCAAACCTTTCTGGTCTTAACTCAGACAAAGAAAACCTCTCCTTCAATTTGCAGTAGTATTGGCAGAGTAGGGACTGTTGGATTTAGCATTGCATGTGAATTTCCAGGATGGTGGCCTTCAGGAAAAAAACATTACAGAGGCCGTTGATTGTCTTAGATTAACATGAAAATACTTTTCCTTCTCCCAATGAAGAATTCGAAATGAAATTTCCGGTCAAAAGGTATTTGGTGACTGTATAATCCTTACAAGAGTCAACAGATGTGATCTCTTGCACTGAAACATGTGTTCTTAAATTGGAATTGTTGCCACCAACAGTATATTCTTTTAGAGTTTGTCAATTTTTGCATCCCACACGTTATAATTCTACAGCTATATTTGTTGGCACATATGCCCACTTGAAATTGGCGTACCATCTTGTGAGTGGGCATAATGCCATCACAACAGATGGGTATGCAATGAAACTAGTACAAGCATCAACTCTGACTATAATGGGATAGATTCCCTACTGGGAATAAGGAAACAGTAGTCTCTGTAGATATTTGGCATCTAAAGTTAAGGCGAACTGGTATTGCTCATTCAATTCATGGGCAGATTAATCTCTGAAAATCCAAAATTAGCAACCAGAGACTTGAAAGGTGAGTTTTTGATTAACTTGGACTTGTGTGGCACAGGAGTAAATGTTACTACATCACCATCAGATTCTTACTTTTAAGTTTTATTTTCTGCAGTGGCATTTTATGATTTCATTTAAACCCATCACAAAATTAAGCATGAAATCTTCTTCCTGTGGAAGTCAGCAGAACAAAAGATCATCATTAAGTGTCAAAATTAAAAAAAAAACGAACAAAAAAAAAAACAAAACCCACACACCTCTTCTATGAGAAGCAAACATGAACCTTATGGGAAATTTCCTGTAAAATTTAATAGTAATCTTATAAAAAAGGCTCTATAGAAATTACTTTAACAGTTTAGTAGAGAATGATATTCAGGGGGAGGCTGTTTTGTTTTTTTAACAATCTTACAGAAATCTATAGCACGGACATAATTTTCTAAAACCTGTAGGATTTTTCTATAAGAAAAGGAACGGAAAGAAATAGGAGAACAGGTAAAGCTCTGATGTAGCAGTCCTCTTGGATCTTATTTTTGCATTTGTAAACATAGCTCCACTTTGGAAGTCTTTTTTTCCAGTTACAGAATGTTATGTAAAAGAGGCCTGAGGCAAGATTCCTCTTCCACCAGTGTTGCACTATTCAGTGGTAGTGATGCAAAGGAATTGTAAACTTACCTTAATTTGTTGACTACATTGGGTTTAGCTCAGCTTTGTGTTGCTGCAGTGGTGCAAAGGCAGCAAGAAAGAACTGGTCATGCCCGACCCTTTAAAAATTTAATCACCCGATATTAGAGGATTCCAATACAACATTTACTAGTAAACACTTCAGTCCATGTGCATAATAGGGTACCTAGCTTTGAGTCCAGATGAGAAATGTATGAAAAGACACAGTAAAAATAATAAATAATAATAAAGTCAGGTCTAAAGTATAATACTGGTATTTTTCTTTTGTATAAGCAATTAATACAATAAAAATAAAGGTTTGGAGACAGCCTCTAAATCTAGCTCTCAGGCAAACTAAATCTGCAGAAAAATATATATTGAGGATAAGCAAGTAAGGTTGGATCCCTTGAAGGAAACTCATTCCTGGTGTAACTCCACTGGAAACATTGGAGGTACACAAGGATTGAATTTGGCCTATTGTGTTTTTATCATTTTATTATACAGTCAATTAAGGAACCAGAAATATGAAAACTGTCTTTCTCTTCTGACTTCTAATAAGTGCCAGAAGAATGGTATTACATTTTTAGGCCTAGATTTTCAAACCTCGGTAACTGAGGCAACTAGACAAGTGGCCTGATTCTCAAAAGCACTGGACACCCGAAGAGTCCTATGGACTTCATTGGAAAATGCTTGGTGCTCAGCATTTTTGGAAATTAGGCTTCTGTCTAAGATGCCTAAATATGGACTTAAGAGGGAGAATTTCAAAGACATAAACAACAGTTAGGCCCTAAACTCCCATGAGTGATTTCAAGGCACAAATAGTAGTTAGGCCCTTATCTTCCATGGGAGTTTGATGCTTGCCACTAATGCTTTCGGAACTCTCTTTCTTAGGAGCCTAACTTTACACAGTAACTTTTAACACCATTGGCCTTGCAACATAGTTCAGGCAAAATAAGAGATATGGAAGATGTAACTGATTGTTTTAATATATTGTTTATACAGGAGAGGAGTCACTCACAATTTTTGTCGACAAGCGGAAGCTGAGTAAGCGATCAGAAGGAAGTGATCCCAGCACCAACAGTTCTTCTGTGACTCTGGAGACTCTGCACCAACTGGCAGCCTCTTACTTCATTGACAGGGACAGTACTCTCCGTAGACTTCACCATATTCAAATTGCCTCCACTGCCATCAAGGTATGAGAAGTCGCTCTGGAGTCTAGCCGCAAACATTTTCACAGATTAAGTAGATCCTCCCCTTACCAGACATGCCTGGGATTTCACTGATAAAACAGACTTGTTACGAAATGAATAAATGTGTAAAAATACTCTGACACACAATTTGCAATTTCCCAGTGATTATTTATCTATCATCATCATCATCCATACATTTGATCGTAGACACCTGTTTTTGAAAAATATATCCCTTTCATGTTCCAGAACAAAGCAGTGCCCAAGCCTGCTTACTCAACTGCCTTAGGATTTCCCCAGTGATTCAGCATAGAATATCAGGGTGGGAAGGGACATCAGGAGGTCATTTAGTCCAACCCCCTGCTCAAAGCAGGAGCTATCCCCAATTTTGGCCCAGATCCCTAAATGGCCCCCTCAAGGATTGAACTCACAACCCTGAGTTTAGCAGGCCAGTGCTCAATATCCCTCCCTCCCTGTAGTGTAGGTTATCTGTGTATGTATTGTATGAAGCAATATCTATGCATTTGTACATCTGTCCAGCTGTGCTTTTAAAACAAGCGTAGAAATAATACACACCTTTAATGGCAATGGTTAGCGTAAGTTTACTTAGCAGAAATAGCTTCTCTCAGGACAGGACTTCCTATCAGACAGAGAAGCAAATTGAATTGTACTTTTAATAGAAGGTGCCTTCATTATAAAGCTTTTACTCCAGAATCTACTGAAGTCAACAGGAATCTTTTCCTTCTCTTGATGGGGCTTTGAATTAGGCCCTTAGTTACCAGTTTCTGGTTTTCAACTATATTAGTTGATTATTTACAGTATCATAGTACATAGTGTCTTATTACTTTTGTCCTTCAAACAGTATTATGTAATATGCAGATCTGAAGTAAATTGAAAAATACACTTCTCTTTGAGGTTTAGAAAGGAGGCCTTTCCTTTATATTAAAAGGACACACAAAACAAATCAGCAAAAAATTAAATATTGGCAAATGGAGATAATGACTTGGGTAATGAGTACTAACTATATACCAAAGCTTTTAGCAAACAGCACAAAATCACCTTGTTACCCCCGGATCCCATCACCATTCATGAGATGCATACAAATGGAAACTAGAGTCCATCAACACATCTGCAAATTACAAAGAAGGTGTTCAAGATCACACATGTCTGATTGAGGTAATCAACTGCAGCAGGCCTCTAGAAAATGGTAAACGTCATATGTGACAATACCAATGTATGAAATTATGTATGCTGTACTATCACACTGATTGAGGGGTCTGTTAGTATTTGCACGACATTTCCATTTTCAGAGCATTTTATTCACTAGAAAAACGTAATGCTAACTGAAATTTGGAATGAAAGAGCACTGACAGGAAGGAAATATGTTTTGGTGTCCCCCCACCCCCTCCACAAGTTTTCAAAACACTGCATTTGGTTCTTTTAAAGTAGATGGGTATCAGATCGTGTGTAACAACAGTCAACTCTCATTGTGATCTTATATTTCAGCCATTTTATTTATACAAATTTCATTGATGTTGTAGTTAGAATAGGGTCCAAATTCTACAAAACCCACCTCACAGGCAGATCCCTGCACCTGTGGCAGATCATACAGGATCAGGGCCTAAAATAGCATGGGTGAAATTCTACAGACCTCACAGTCCAGGAGGAGCTGTGGGTTTGATGGCTTTAAGACATGTTTGTGCACTCCCAATCCTGAGGTGCTCCAGATGTTGGATAATTTAGACTTTTCTAAGTTACAACATCTTCCCTGGTCTGTCTATGGGACACAGTGTTGCTCAGAATCTCCACTCCCTATGTCAGTGATAGGGGATCCTCTGAAAGCAGCCTTATAACGGTCTTACACAGGGCCTGTGCCAAGGAAATCCTTCTCTGCTAGAGACAGAACATTTAGAGCTAGCTCCTTGATGACATTCTCTGGCACCTTATCAAATAAATGTGCCAGAATTGGTGAAAAATTCACCCCATAATTTTTTAAAGGATCTAAAATCCTTGTTTTATGTGATATGTTGGAAATGGATCAAATAATTAAAATAAACAAACAAAAGGATTACTGACAAGTTGGAAATTCAAGAATTAGAGTTACAATTCACATTAAATTTAATGGAAATTGAGCATCCAAATCTCTGAGATGGCTTTGAAAATCTCAGCCATAGTTTCCCAATTTTCAGCTTCATGATTTGTTTGTTAAATGTACATCGGATTTTAAAATGAGTATTATATGTGATATTTTCCTCATTTCTTTAAACCAATGTATAGAAATGATAAAAATAAATTCAGGGAAAATGTTCATTAAAATAATGTTAAGGCACTAGTGGAAATTAAAAATAAAATCAGAACTCTGGATACAAGTTAAACACTGTAATTCATGCAATTTTACTGCAGTCCGTGGCAAGAAACGTCATCTACTGTTCCAAAACTTCAACAGTGTTAAAGAATTGCAGAAGACTTAAGTATTTCCAGCTACAATCATTTAAAAAAGAAAAAAAAGCCAAGCTTCTAGAAATGAAAAAGGTTAACTTAAAAACCAAGAGATTTTTTAAAAAAATAATACATTGTCCATGTTTGTTTTTGCCTTCTGGTTATTGAGCATTTAGGGATCATATTTTCAAGCTTTTCTCTGCAATCATCTGGGCTTCATAGACGGAGCTTCAGCAATAACTAATCTCATTTTGTCTCAATAAAAACCATTTTGTCTCAATAAATTTGGAATGTTTAGTTTTGATTTTGACCCCCTCTCCTTTTTAAAAAAATATAAAGTAAAGTCAATTTTGAAAGGAAGTTATTTGAAACGAAAAAGAAAATCATAACTTTTTGTTCCAGGACATTTTTGAAACTTTTTGCCAATCTTTTTCTAAACAAATTGTCATCAAAATTGATAGAATTTTGCAAAATAAATAATAATAATAATCAATTCAGTCAAAATTCAGTTGATCAAAGGGATAGAATGCAAGCCATCTGAGCAAAGGCTGAAGGAACTGGGTATGCTTAGTTTGGAAAAGAAGAGATTAAGGGGAGGACTTGATAGTCTTCAAATACTTGAAAGGCTGCCATAAAAAAAGATGGAGACGTCCTGCCCTGTGTGGCAAAAATGAACAAGAGGCAATGGGTTCAAATTACAGTATATCAGATTTAGATTAAATCTCAGGAAAAACTTCCTAACTGTAACAACAGTAGGTCAATGGAACAGACTGCCTTGAGAGGTTGTGGAAGTGCCTTCATTGGAGGTTTTTAAAAGGAGGCTGTATAGCCATCTGTCTTGGATGGTTTAGACACAACAACTTCTGCATCTTGGCAGGGGGTTAGACTAGATGAACTTTGTGGTCCCTTGACAAAAACTTTCCAACCATCTCTAATGGCAAGCTTGTTTTGAATAGCTCTCCTACCAAACTGGCTGAATGTTAGAAAACTGCAATTTAGCATAGTAATAAACCTTACCGAGGAAAAGGATCCTTGGATGTTTGGGTGAAAGTTGTGTGTGAGTTGTGAGCCTCTGAAAATTCCCTGTGCATACAAATTAGAATTGACATACATCTTCATTTTCTTACAAAAAGTGAAGTTAATAAAGACCGTGTAGCTAATACAAGTGCATATAGGTGCAATACTGCCACCAAATCAACTTTTTGCCATCACTTCGACTGCACCATCCACAGAGTCATTTCACTGGTTTCTTAATGCACCATCCATCAAGATCAAATATTTTATTCTTCCACTTAGGCTCAACATCATAAAGGCCAGGTCTACATATCTGACTGTCACTGATTCCCCTTATGCTAAGAATGCCCTTTCAAAATCTGTTTATTAAGCCTCCATCCTCACCTTATTTAGATTATATTTCTCATTCCTGCTTAATCACCTACAAAATCTAGTGTTTGTACTTTGAAAAATCATGCACTACAAACCATTTGAACTGCCAGGCATTGTTCACTCCTAAACACATTAGTAAATGCTACAGAATATTTGATGACCACTATAACAACAACAGCAATAATAATGGGCTGAGAGAATGGCTCCTATAAATCTTTGCCTCCATCTTGTTTAAGGGGTTAGGAGTAAGAAAAAGCTGTTACTGACTTTGTAAGGTGTGCAGGAATTAGCCCAGCTCTGATCCACTTTAGGAGTTCCCTAGGGAGCATCTCATCCTTACTTATCTCCTAATCTGTGCAAGAGTGGGTGTCCCTCCTGCAGATTTCCTAAGCAGCTTCCAATTCACAGATGGGGCATTGCTCTCTAAGCTTCCAAAGGTGTGTGTGGGGGGAAATCAGCTTATTTGTAGGAAACAGAAAATATTAATGAAGTACACTTCATCCTTCGAATAACAACATGAAGGTGATATCCATTGCACTCAGAACAATTAACACTTGATCAGTTTGTATATCAATTTTCACATTCCCAACAAGAAAATTATAGCGATAAATTACATTTTCTGTCCATCCCTGATGTCTAATTGGGACTGGAGGAGGAGGATTGAATTTGAATTAGGCTGCTAATTTATCAGCTATTCTATCCCACACCTATCATATGTCATCAAAGGTGGGGGGAAGGTCTCTTTTAAATCTTTATTTTTAATCAGCTGGGGTAAAATAATGTTATCTCAAGCAGAACAGTTGTTTTCTCAAGTATGCAAATGTACAGTGCAAGGAAGGGACTGGTGCCAGTATATCTGATGAATGTAATCAAGTTAATTGTGATATAATTAATCTTGAATACAATATGTGCAGAATTGATGGAGGCCTTGCTATTAAAACTCAACATTATATTGTCAATCTGACACTCTCCAAGTAAAGATATCAAGCCATAGCATCCTTGATACTATTTTCCAACTGGAAGCCAAGTGTTTAAGAGTGTTACATGAAGCTTGTATCAATATTTACCTTATTTAAAAATATTCCAATACATACATTATTTCAGTAGTATTTTAATGCATGCATTTTAGTGTAAGTGGTTAGATTAATGTTCTAAATCAACAGTTTGCAGCCTCAAGGGCT